GTGGCCGTACGGAAACCGGTGTTTCAACGTGTTATGGCCGGAAGCCACCCAAATTCTGCTTTGGCTTTCTACTACTATTTTATTCAGTCACCATTCCATCAAGACGCAATTTAGCGATCCCTGCATTAAATCTTTTTTAAAAAAATTTTAAGCATTCGAACCCAAGCAAGGCGGGAAGCCATTCCTAGCACATAAGGGGTTACAGAGAGTTGGAGCGAGAGCAAAGAGGAGTGATAGAGGAAAGGATGAAGAGAAGGATAGGGGATAGATCAGGGCATCTGGAGACGTCGATTACATTTGAATAGTTGGAGATTATAGCTATCAGGGAAACAAGAAATGAGGAGGGAGTTCCACAGGCGAGAAGTGCGAGACATGAAGCTATTGGAGTAGAAGAGACGGCTACATTTAACAGTTTCGACAGTGAAAGGGAGAGAGCGAGATGCCAGCCTAGTAGAACGCTTAAATTTATGAAGTCTGGGAACCAGCGAAAGCAGTTCATCGGAGCAGTTACCATGAAAGTATTTGTAAAAAAGACAAAGGGAGGCAACGGCACGTCTGTGAAAGAGCGGCTACAGACGAGATGCCAGATCAGGGCCAATTACATTGCATATCCGTCTCTGGATTTTATCAAGGACCTTGAGACAAACAGAAGGGGCCCCAGACCATATATGGCAGCAATACTCCATGCAAGGGCGAATGGTTGATTTGTAGATTTGAAGGATCGACTCCGGAGAGAAAAATTTCCTGGTGTGGCATAGGGAGCCGATTTTCCTAACGGTGGACGAACCTATTGACTCAATGTATCCATCTCAGGTCAGCGGACAATGTGAGACCGATTGTTCATAGCGTTTTTGTTATGGTTGATATCGAATCTATGAAGGTAAATTCTCCTTACATTTCGCTTTGACTATCTTTGTCAACTTGGAATCTCTGTCAATGAATGTCATATTGTTTTGGAATTTTTTCAATTTGGGTTGAATTTTTTTTAATGTCACACAATCTAAACGACATAAAATTGGAAGGATGTATACAAGGTACATATTTGTTTTAGTGTGAATTGGTATAATTTTTGATTTCAGTATTTACAGCCATAGCACGTCGAAATACCGGTTCCCGAAGTTAAGCAACGTCGACCCTGGTCAGTACCTAGATGGGGAACCACTTAGGATTACCAGTGGGACAATTTTAGTTAGCTACTTTATCGAAAGATATTAAGTTTTGTCTTAACTAACCAAATTAATACTAAACAAGGGTACTATTTAGCATTATACCTAAATTGTAAATTAAACCCCAAACTAAAGTTTTTAAATTGATAGAAATTAACACGTTAAAACTGTTTTTAACATATTATTTACAAAACAAAATAACTGGTCAAAGCATCGGCCAACCTTTGGTTAAGCGATGACAAATAGAAAAACATATCTTTTGTGTTTTATATATTGAAGTGGCAAACAATGAGAGACAACTACCTAATTAATTATATCGCTCTTCTATACCTGAAAAACAAGGTGGTAACGGGTCTACTATGTACTGTAGTTGTTACGTGGGTATATCGATCAAGGTTTGTTAATAACTGCTTGATAATTGTTAGGTATGGTTGCATCTAATTGAGGGAGGTTTGCAATATGTCTTATACATGCCAGTTGAGATTTAAATTTAGTGATAAGTATGGTGAAAATAAAATAGTGCAAGGGGTCGTCATTATAATCTTTATATGTATGTCACACACTTGTCGAGAAAAACTTCAGTTTCACTAGTGGTCCTTGTAGAATATTGGTTAGCTTGAAAGTGGTCTGACAGACAAATAGTCTGGTGTAGTCACTTCAGTTGAGTTTTTTCACTGAGTGATTCGATGGAGAGATATACTGATGAATTGAGTCCCCTCATGCAAATGTGTTGGGCAGGTTCATTCTAGTAAAGTAGACTAACCCACCCGTTGTATTAGGTACTCTCCTATAAATGAGGTAGAAATGAGGTAGCCTGCCTTTACAAGGAGACAAATAGGCAGCCATGTTAGAAGGTAAGTCATTTGACTTCCCAGGTCCCTGCGAACTCCAAAAGAATACATCTACAACACAGAAGAAAACAGTTTTCACAACAACCTACTGAAAGTTTGGATCTCTATCCTCATACGATGCCCGCAGCACACGAACCTGACCTTCTCTGTGAAAGGGCTTATAGCCAACTATTCTTGAACGGTCCAAGGATTATTATATATGAATCACGTACGCCACTTTTAACGACGCTGTGGTGTCAATACAGGTACCTTTGTTGATCAACAATTACGAAACGACCCGAAATGCAGTAAGCACTATACTTGACAAATGATTAAGTGGTATCAACGCTCAATTGGGAGGTAATTTGATGCAATGTTTCATGTCATTGGGGCGTTACCATCATTGCTAGTCCCTAGGGAAATTCACACTCTGCTGATGTATGTCTGATATTCATAAACTCTCGGTAAACTTGTGTAACTCTTACATCACAAAAAAACCTTGAAGAGTTATGTCCGCAGGACGATTCATCTTTCTCGATCCAATAATCATTCCGCGGTCAAACCGTGTTAAATACTGTCAGCGTCCCAAGTCTGCCACAGCTACACTACCTCATCAACTATTACGTTGCACACACGTCATTCATTTCTACAAAGGTGGGAGGGTGAAAGGATTCAGTTTATCGCCATCTTTAATAATTTGGCACTTCCGGCCAGTAAGTTTAACGGAGCGAAGGAAATCAATGAAAATGAAAATTATTAAAGCTAGAATTTATTCTTATGACGATATTGGAGGCCAATTAATTTATACTTATACAAATTGCATCGAGGAAGATGTTCATGGAAAAAGTGGGAAAATTAAATTAATTAAAACACCAGATCAATGCATGGGAATTAAACTGATGGTAAATAGACGACGACGACGACGACGACGATGATGATGATGAATTTCAAATAATAATAATAATAATAATATATGGAAAGCGTCAAAACATTCATAGAAAATTAACTTTAATAATGGTAAAAGGAAACATTTTCTAACTGGATATACAAGGGTCTTTCAATAAATAAGGTGAATTTTTCGGTATAAGGACTTCTAATACAGATAGAAGCTTACTTTTTTCTATTTTTTTTTTTGTTTTACTTCTTTTTTCACATGGATTTAATTTCTTTTGCAGATTAAAAAAAAAACAAACTTTGAGAGTTTTGGCGATTAACAAAGATGGCCGACCAAGAAGCATGCTCCAGGATTGAACAGCGGTCAGTTATCAAGTTTTTGGTTGCTGAAGGGTGCAAACCAGTTGAAATTCATAGGAGAATGTCAACTGTGTATGGTGCCACATGTTTCAGCCAAAAAATGTCTACAAGTGGTCTAAATTGTTTAAAGAAGGACAGAGCAGTGTTGAGGATGAAGACAGGCCTTGGGAGGCCTACAGAAGTGAGGTCCCCTGAGGTGATCGAATCAGTCAATGACCTCATTCAGTCTGACAGAAGGGTGACAGTGAACTGCTGAGGCAGGTCAAGAAAGACATAAAGAACAAACGCAGGGGCCATCAGTCAGAAGGAGCCATCTTGCATCATGACAACGCAAGGCCTCACACAGCAACCCATCAACGAGCTGGGCTGGGAACTGCTCCCTCATCCCCCTTACAGCCCAGACCTTGCCCCTTCAGACTTTCACCTGTTTGGTCCCTTGAAAGCGTTCACGAGAGGCACGAAGTTTAAAAGGTGACGATGAAGTCAAAAGTGTTGTGAGCGACTGGCTGAGATATCAGTCCAAAGATTTTTACTCTGAGGGAATACGGAAGCTTGTGCACATATGGGAAAAATGTGTGACAGTGCTGAGTGACTACGTTGAAAAATAAAAAAAAAATAAGCTTCTATCTGTATTAGAAGTACTTATACCGAAAAATTCACCTTATTTATTGAATGACCCTCGTATCTTCAGTTGTACCAGATGCAAAGCACTCAAATTCAACTTGTAGCCTATCTACACAAATTAACCCATATATATATATATATATATATATATATATATATATATATATATGTGTGTGTGTGTGTGTGTGTGTGTGTGTGTGTGTGTGTGTGCGTGCGTGCGTGCGTGTGTGTATGTTATGTTCGAAGCGTTTTTACTCATGAATACCTGGTTTTGGCTAATCCATGGAAATATCCATCTCATATTCGCTGACCAGATCTGGTCTGTTCATCTTGCAAGGATATATAAATAATAATAATAATAATAATAATAATAATAATGAATCATCTTGTGTCAGGTTGCGCGATATTGGCACCCACTGAGTATAAAACTCGGCATGACAGAGTGGGCCAATATCTGCACTGGAAAATTTGCAACTTCTACGGGATGGAAACTGAAAGAAACTGCTATGAACACCACCCAGACCCGGTTACGGAGATAGGACCTGTTACAATTCTATGAGACTACACAATACACACTGACAGAATAATCAAAGCCAACCGCCCAGACATTGTTATTAGAGATCACAAATATAAAAAGTGCCTCCTTATTGATATGGCAGTCTCTGCAGACTGCAATGTATCTTTGAAGATATTAAAAAAGTTGTCAAAATTCAAGGACCTTGAAATAGAAATCTCAAAAATGTGGCACATGGTAACATCAATAATCCCTGTTGTAGTTGGATCCCTAGGATTGGCTAGAAAAGACCCCAGTAGACTAATTGAAAGGAATTCAAGTCCATGCCTCAAAGAGATACAAAAAATTGTTCTAAGAAGTACAACCAACACTTTACGAAGGGCTTTATCTATGTATTTTTTTCTCAGAATAATGCCATTTCTAACTTTAGGTCCCTGGGAAGGATCCGGAAAGAAATGTGTAAATGGCAGAAATCAAAGGAAATAAAAACAATAATAATAATAATAATAATATCGTGACCAAAGACCACAAGAGCTGACTGTGCTTTCATATTGGCATGGAAGTCTCTGTAGACTGTAATGTCTCTTTGAAGATCTTCAAAAACTTTCAAAATACAAGGATTATAAAGTATAAATATAAACAAAAATGCGGCACATGATAACATCAATAATTCCTTTTGTGATTGAAGCCCTCGGATTGATTGAAAAAGGTCCCGATCGACTTATTGAAGGGATTCTTGGTAGCCCATTCCTTAAGGAAATACAAAGAATTGTAATCACAAGTACAGACCACACATGACGAAGAGCTTTATGTGTGTAAGATATGATCTTTTACGAAAATGATCATTGGAAAATGTCATGAAGCCATTTTTGACCTTCGGTCTCTGGTTGTGACCCGGAAGGAAACGAGTATACACCAGAAATCAAAGGAAATAATAATAATAATAATAATAATAATAATAATAATAATAATAATAATAAAGGAAGCCAACAAGTTCAAAATGGAGTTTCAAATAGGCGAAGAAGCACAATAGACCGACTGCAGTTGCAAAATACTTAAAAAGCAAAGACAAATGCAACCAACCAGATAGCAAGATAAACTGCTTCACGGTGAATACCATGTCCGTACAAAACAAACTGATGTAGACAAACCTCGTATCCATCAGTTGCTACGTAGTGCAGGGTTAAAAGCTGAAACCAAAAGATTTATTCTTGCTGCACAGGACGAAAGCTTGTTAATTGGAAATTGTTAAGCACACATACTGAAAAGTTATGTTAGCCCGAATCACAGATTCTATAATTAATATCCAGAAACAGTTGGCCATCTTGTATCAGGTTGCACGGTATTGGCATCTACTGAATATAAAACACGGCAATATCTCCAATTGAAAATCTGCCTCACTTACGGAAAGGAAACTGCAAACAATTGGTATGAACACCACCCAGACCAGGTTACGGAGATAGGATCTGTAGTAATTTTATGGAACTTTACCATACACTCAGGCAAAACAATCAAAGCTAATCGTCCTGATATCGTGATTAGAGACCGCAAAGACAAAATGAACCTTTTTATTGACATAACGTCTGCAGACTGTAATGGATTTTTGAAGATTTTCGAAAAAACAACTATCAAAATACGAGGACCTTGAAATCGAAATGTCAAAGATTTGGCGCATGAGGACATCAACAATTCCAGTTGTATTTGGAGCCCTCGGGTTGACTGGAAAGATTCCAATAGGCTCATTGAAAGGATTCCTGGTAGCCAATGATTTAAAGAAATAAAATATCTACAAATCAACAATTCGCCCTTGCATGGAGTATTGCTGCCATATATAGTCTGGAGCCCCTTCTGTTTGCCTCGGGGTTCTTGATAGGCTCTAGATGCGGATATGCAATATAATTGGCCCTGATCTGGCATCTCGTCTACAGACACTTTCTCACAGACGCGCCGTTGGCTCTCTCTGTCTTTTTTACAAATACTTTCATGGAAATTGCTCCGACGAGCTGCATTCGCTGGTTCCCAGACTTCATGAGTTCAAGCGCCCGATGAGGCTGGCATCCCGCTCTCACCCCTTCATTGTCGAAACTCCTAAATGTAACCGTCTCTTCTACACCAATAGCTTCATGTCTCGCACCTCTCGCCTGTGGAACTCTCTTCCCTATTCCAGTTTCCCTGAGAGCTATAATCTCCTGCTATTCAAATGTAATGTCAATCGACATCTCCAGTTGCCTTGATCTATCCACTACCCTTCTCCTCATCCTTTCTTCTATTACTCCTATCTGATCTTGCTCTAAATTTTCTGTAACCCCTTGCGTGCTAGTAGCTTCCCGCCTTGCTTGGGGTGAAACGCTTACAAAAAATGAGTGCAGCTCAGACCTTACCGAGGACTTTATCTATTTATCCATGTAAAATATTTGTTTGTTTCATTGTTATGTCTCCTTCAAACTGCTCTGTGGTAATGCGATGATACAATTTTTAATATCATGTCTCTGATTAGGAATGAATATTCAACAGAAATCAAAGGAAATAATAATAATAATAATAATAATATGATATTGGAATGATAGAAAAAAAGAACACAAGAACACATTGAAAAAATTCCCTACAAATCCCAGCTTCTGCGAAATACCAAAAAATTGTCTTCATAAGTACAACCCATAGACTATGAAGAACATTGTCCATGTAACGCTAGTGATGTTATTTATAGAAGTTAGAAAAACTAATCATGAAATGTAGCCATAACAACACATCGTTACTTCCCTTAGGTCTTCCCACAGACTTGGTAGGTAGTGTAATCATAGAAGTAAGTGAAATATAATGATGATAAAAATGTATTGCTGGCCACCCGTCTACTAGGGTGGCTAGTCAATCCCCGTTACAGACGCTTGCACAGGCGCATTTGTGTTTTGTCCAACACCCACAGAGCTATACTGCATCTATAATAATAGCAGGCCTTAGTTACAATTTCTGGGGGAAAGCGTGTTATCTAGCGTGATCAACAATGGTTCCGTCTACCCAGTTCCACTTACAAGACTTGGGTCAACCCGTGGTACGGTTTTCAGGTACTTTCCAAAGGTGTCGCACGCTGGGATCGAACCCTCCAGTAGGATAACATTAGGAATTCTTCTTCCTGACAAATCGATCATGGTGTGATTCGAACCCGGGTTTTGTGGTCAGTATGCAAACGTCCTAACCAATCGGCCACGTTCCCATCATCATCATCATCATCGTTATTATTATTATTATTATTATTTGTAGTAATAGTAGTAGTAGTAGTAGTAGTAATAATAATAATGTGCATAAATATGCAAAGCGATTATATAAGACATTGGTGGATATAAACGTGTGAGAATCCAGGATGAATAAAATAACTGAGTTGTGACAAATCATCTCCTGTTGAATAAGTCTTAATTCTTTAAATAATGAGTTGAAAATCAATCAATGTAAATATTTGAATATTAAAAGAAAACATTCTGAGAGAGAAATAATAAATGACTGTGCCTTATTAGATGTGTACAGAATAGTTTAGAGCTCTCTCCGTTCTTCAACATCAGAAACTAATTATACAACAGAAAACATATTGACATTAAAAAGCAAAAAACAAAACAAAAAAACAAAACAAAAAACGCTGCAACCTTTGCAGACACGAGCTTCATTTGTCTCCCAGCAAAATTTATCATATGTGTGAATATCAGTCGCTAATATCGTTTTAACTTCTTTTCTTTTTAAATTCTATTTGATATTTCTAATCTGATTAAATTCGCTTCTTCTATGATATGAGACTTTTAAAAAGATAAAAAATGAAATTAACTTCCGTTTTATTTATCTTGCAATTCATCATTTACAGTCGTACAAGAAGGGGGCGATGGAAAAAGAAATTCCCGTACCAAGTTTTAATTCATCATATTTTGAAAGAGGGTTGGGCTGATAAATTTTCAGCAGCTCCAGAAATATGAATGCATGTTCGAAAATGATGAGAGATTTTAAATATTTTATGGCATCGAGAAATTTTGTTAAATTTTCAAATTAAATGTTCAATACATACATATATATATATATATATATATATATATATATATATATATATATATATATATATATATATATATATATATATGTATATATCACACCTTTAATATATATAATACATAAATATAGCACAACTTAAGATTATCTGTCTCCACATATATATATATATATATATATATATATATATATATATATAATTCCCAAGAGGACAGAATCCAGGTAGAACTCAATGTTCAGGACAGAGTAAGAATATAATATAAAAGGATCATTCACTAATATTCCATGGTTATAATTTATTAATATATATTAATTTTCTACGGCCACCAAGAAATTAATTCAGGGACTTGAAAGGATTAAAATTGAAATGAATAGATATAATTCGTCTAAATAATTTAATCAAACTTGCTTGAATGAAATATACTGACCTGAACATAAATATATATATATATATATATATATATATATATATATATATATATATATATATATATATATATATATATATATATATATATATATATATATATATATATACACGTTTTATTAAATAATATAGACAAGTGTTGTCTATTTATTTTATGTAAATCTTTTTCGTAACGTCTGATAAGTGTAATAACATTATCGTTGAACGAAGAAAGAAATTCACAATATTGATCCATATTTTTTATTTAATACAATCTAACCTTTCGGCTTACATAAGCCATTATCAATGATGTCAATTACAACATAATATACGGACAAGACAGTGATGATAGTCTGTCATTGTTTACATAGATGATTTCTAAGCAACGATAAACACGTGCATATAAGACGCTAGAAGCGAAAATAGCACTGCATCTCATGACGTCACACATGAACACACGAGAGTGAATTGGAGAAGTATGAAGTATGGGAAGCAGTTGGTATAATCCAATGGCTTCTGTTACCAATTATAGACATCTAATATATATATATATATATATATATGCATTTATAGATATATGCAATTGTGGATTTGGGCAGCAAATACTCTTTTATACAGGTTTTATTAAATACGATTATGAAGGTACAATGACTAAGCATTTGAGTTAAATTTTCTTGTATCCCAACTCTTTTCTTTTCTGAGCATAAATTATACAAAACTGCCCAAATGTTCGAATATATCCGACCGCATTTGGCTATTCTATTCCACATTATCAATTAAAAAAAAAAAAAAAAAACAGAATATGTACATTTTTACGAACACGGTCAGTACGTTGAAGCCGTGTTCATAGTTCATATCACTGATTCAATGAGGTACGCGTTTTTGAATTCGTTCCAACAGCTGTTTCAAAAAATAAAAATAAAAATCAAAAAAAAAAAAAAAAGTAAAGGATTTCAAGAGAAAAGTCAAATTTCTTACCTTTTCGACAAATATAGTCGCCTGGAGAGAAGAGGACTGGTCGTAACCGAAGAACCAGTTCGCACAAAAAACCGGCCTCGGTGTTTTGGAAAATCTCCACTCGCTTCAAAGTGTCTAAATGCACGTGAATTGCGATTTCAGCCTTGAGCTTGTCCGGCAATAGGCTCAGCGTGCGTTCTTCATCCGTCGATTTGTTGCACATCCACAGATAATCGAACCACCTAATAACTCGGTCCTGCAGTATTAGAGGAACTCTCCGCAGTGTCATGTATGTCTTCACGCCATCTAGCTTGGCTAAAAAGAAAAAAAAAAGAAAATAGAAAAAGAAGTCAGTTACGATTAACAATGTAAAACGTATTCGCTTTGTGAAAAAATGTCCAGAGAAAATTTTTTTCAAAGCTAGACATTGAATTTACAGTTGAAAACCAATTTTGTGTCGGAAAGTTATGTATACAACTTGTATTAAATGAAAAATTCTAAAATAAAAGAAACGCTAGTCAAGAAATATATCAATATTATATATTTTAATCGGTTCATCGCAAGCAAGGCAATAAAGCCACAGGTTACTGAGTGTGAATGAAAATCAGATAAAGAAAAAAATATTAGGAAGAGAAGCCACTAATAGAGCAGGAATTAAGGAAACAGAAGATAGCGACTGAAAATTAAATTTTTGAAGGTCAAAATTGTTGGAAAGTGAGTTCCACAAGAGAGACGTACAAGAAAATAAAGTGTTAGCATAGAACTTACAGTTACATGTAACCATTACAAGTGTAAAATGATCAGATTTTGCTGCTAATCTAATACTGTGTATAAATTCGTAAATTACAAAAGAAGAAGTCTTATCAGAATAATTTTTGTGAAAATAGAAAAGGCTTATGGGAAGTTACGTTACGGTAGTGGGAAAGTGACTGAAGTCGAGATTCCAACAACATTGCAGATTTTTCTACGTATTTTATCAAGAATCTTTAAATATATAGCAGAAGCACCAGACCAGATGTGTCAGCAATATTCAATACATGGATGAATGGTAGACTTATGTGTAAGATAGATTCTTACAAGAAAAATTGTCTATCATGACACAGTGAACCAACTTCTCTAGCAACTGATTTAATATAATCTTTCCACTTCATTTAAGCTAAAAACATTAGTCTGAGAAGATGTAACGAGTTACTTTCCTGTAAATTAGCATCAGTTGACAATATGACTTAATTGAACCAATCAGGCTTACCATTAACACAAGAGTAAATATTTGTTTGTGTCATCAGCATAGATACTGAACTGAGAATTGATGATGTTTTTATTTTTCAGTTTGTCAGAATGCATTTGGTCTTTGCTGCAATAATGGTGACAAGAATGTTTGGTACGCTTTCAAAATTGATGGAGACACATCCAAGAAAGAATTCCAAACATTATTGTGTCGGACAAGAGCAGACACCCTGTGTCGGACAGACTATGTAAGTATTACATAATTGCATAATAGTTTTCTACAATTCAAGTAAGTAAAACTATGTTTTGTTGGGGGTCTACTTCTATTAATGGTAATTTCTTGATCTCTTAAATTTTATCTTTGGTATTTGTAGCTAATATTTTATTATCTGAAACTATTGGGAGGCTGGAAATTGGATAGTTGGGTTAATAACTAAAACTAATAACATTCACATATAACTATACTAACACACAAACACACACACTGAAGAATATGAAAAAAATAATTAAGGATACAGAACAATAAAAGAACAGTAATTAAGATGATAACTATTGACATTGCATTTAAATTTTTGAAGAACGAGAACAAGAAACCGGAAGTGAGTTCCACAGGAGACGTACAAGAAAAGAAACTGTTAGCATAGAACTTATGGTTACATGTAGCCATTTCAAGTGTAAAAGGATTAGATTTTGCTGCTAATCTAATACTGTGTATAAATTCGTAAATTACAAAAGAAGTTGTCTTAGCAGAATAATTATCATGAAAGTGGAAAACACGCCGGGGAGTTATGTTATGGTGGTGGGAAAGTGAGTGAAGTCGAGGTTCCAATGACATTGTTTTGTTGGGCGTGGGGGGGTCTACTTCTATTAAGTCATTTCCTGATTATTTTTTTCTTAAATTATATCTTGGTCATATTGTTGGGAAATCCTTGTTTATTATAATAATCTTTCTAACCTCTTATACGTTTTAAAATGATAATAATCATAGGGAATGTCTTCAGCGATATCTCTATGACGTAATTGTGAACCAGACTTCACTGTGTCGTAGACAGGATCTGTACGTAGTGGTTCCATGCATCATTGACTGACACGAGTTAAGAACGCATGCGCAGGGCCCATATATTGTGTTTATAATGGGAACTACGATAAAAGATTTATGAAGGAGTTTCCTGACATGAAAAATATTTTAAGGGTACCAGAAGGTTAAAAAGGTCGAGAAACTCTAGAGAGAAATACGGATATAATTGCTTTAGTAAATTTATTTTGGAACCAAGGCGTTTGTAAACAAATATATACCTAAACTGCACATTTATATTCCTTCTGTCTGTCTTGTAGCATATCCGTATTATTATTATTATGGTATTTCGCATTGGTGTAATAAATTGTAACCAATCAATCACTGATAACCCGTTGAAAAAGATTGGGTCAGTTAGAGTTCTTTATGAAAATGTTCAATTTTTCTCTGATAATAACCACAGAAATTGGCACAGTTCCAAATCTGGAAATGCGATAATTTCATGCTTTTTCTTTTTATCATGCCATCAAAATATTTCAGCTGGCATTGCTAGTTCTTAAATTTGTCACTTAAATTATCTATCTATCTATCTATCTATCTATCTATCTATCTATCTATCTACAGGGTGCGATGGATAAATTGTCTTCTAAATTACGCAGAAATGAAAATAACTGACATCTTATTTATTTAACAGATTTATTTACCAAAATTATGCAAACATATCTTGAAATACAAAAGAATAAATTTATTCAATAAAATCGCCATTGGCTTCAACCACGGCTTCTCCAAAATCCCTGTACGAGATGTTCGGCCATTTTGAATGCGACGACCCCGCAAGCTCACGGATTCCTCCAGTCATGTCCCATTGCGGTTTTAGTAATTCCCTCAGGATGCATGCGTAGTAATGTTCCTCTTGAACGGTTGCCAAGTTCCAGCAGGCGCGCAAACAATGATTTTTTTTTTTATTTTTGCGATATTAAAAAATGGCTGGATACATTCCGGACATTCACGAGCGACCGTCGACACGCATGCGCGCGCACACACACACACACACACACACACACACAAACATATATATATATATATATATATTTATATATAATGTAAAGGAAGACTTGCAAAATATTTGATAGACTTAGATGCCTGCACTTACATTGAATTTAAGCAGGTTATATATATTTCAGTAAAGTTAAGAGTGACAAAAAAAAAAAAAAATGAAGATATTTCCAAAAATGCAATGCCGATAAATATATAAAGAAAAAGTAGCAGTGAAACAAATTATGAAGGCATAACCGAAAAAAAAACCCCAAAAAAACTTCTAAAATATTTAAAAAGTTATTGGGTTCTGGACTAAATGGTCATATATCATATGGATTATTGAATTTTATCTATTTGAAATTAATATTTACTCTATAATGAATATATATATATATATATATATATATATATATATATATATATATATATATATATATATATATATATATTATGATATTTTTATTATAATAGATTAAAATACAAACATATTACATCACTACAAAAAACTTCCACGTTTCAGAACTATAATGGTCCTTCTTCGGGCGATGATAGATAACTTGCAAGTGCCTGATGAAAGACCATTATAATTCAGAAATGTGAAACTTTTTTTGTAGAGATTTAAGATGCTGGTATTGTAATCAATCATAATAAAATATGATAATAATATGTTCCCCTACTTTGCATTGAGCACTTTTAAAAGTAAATGCTACGAACTATAGATTCTTACTCCATCTTGCTTTCTCTTATCTGCGATATATATATATATATATATATATATATGTGTGTGTGTGTGTGTGTATATATATATGTATGAGTGTGTCTGAGTGTGTGTGCGGGACTTATTGGAACGTGCTCAAGAACAGTGATAGAGCTAACATATTGTCTGATGATCGCAAAAGCGGGAAACCCAGGGTCACAAAACATATTCATACAAATTATATATATATATATATATATATATATATATATTCATACAAATGAATATATATATATATATATATATATATATAATTTTAATGCAACTAAAAAAAAAACTTATTTTTAGATAATTTGTTTAACTTTCATAATTTATTTCATAGGGACACCATGAAAATAAGTTATTCGTTTTAAGAGCAAAAAAAGAAACTATATATGTATGTTGTACACACACACATATGTGTGTGTGTCTGTGTATATATATATGTGTGTATCTGTGTTTCTGTCTGTATATATATATATATATATATATATATGTGTGTGTGCGTATAGATATATGTATGTGTGTATACACACAAAGATATATATGTACACAAGCAGACATAAAGATATATATATTTGTATGTGTCTTTCCCTGTTTGTAAATGAGTGTGTGAATGTGCATATACAGTATATATGTTTAAGGGTATATTTTCGTGTTTCTAAATTGATGTTTGTATTCGTTAAAAAGCCTCTGCATTCGAATAATTCTCTCCATTTATCTTTCTATTTGTAAGTATCTCCTGAAATTATTCCATAATTTTCACTTCTCAATTGCCCGAATGTTTTCCCTTGCAGTCAGTGCACTCACTCGCTCTGAATTATAGCTGGGGTTTTAGCTTCTAAACGAATTTCAAGGTTTCTGCCATCACATCTTTTCGATAAGTACTCATACGATATTTTATTTCTTCTTTCTTTTCTAGAAGAATCTTTATAAAAGGCAGCATCATCAAACAATTGAAAACATCGTAATCAATGTATAGATAGCAGGAAAATTAAATCAATCACAAAAAAAAAACTCCAGAATTCTTTCAAGGACGCGGTAAGATTGTAATTTTCTGCTGCTTTTTAAAGAAATAATTTTCTATTGAACGAATGAGATTATATTTTCTACAATAAAATTCCTCAAGAAATATATGAATTTTTTATAGCCATAGCTGTTGTTGTTTTTATTAAAATTATTATTATTATTATTATTATTATTATTA